TCCTTCCTTGTTCCGCCCACCACTCAGAGTAACTGAGATCTGTTTGAGGTAGGACACTAGAGTTCAACACCTGCAGGCAGCTACAGACACAAAAAGAATAACCGGGCTTCAGGATCATGACTGTGTTGACTGAGGAGGTGTTACAGGAGCCCATACAGAATTGAAATACTTCCTTAGTGGGAAGTTTTACCGTTGATCACATGTACATCACTTCATATCATGAGAACCTCCCTATGAGCAATTAAAATTATACATTTCATGAGCCCTATGTTGTCATCTGCTGGCACTTTAGATTACAAGATTGCTCTGTGTGTGTGCATGTGTGTGTGTGTTTTGTCTGTGTGTGCGTTCACACGCTGGTGCATGTGAAAGGAGAGAATGGGCTGTCTCCCAGGATGTGCAGCGAGCGCTTTATTAGAGCGGTAGTACCAGTAAATCAGAGCTCAGCTCTTCCTGGAACTGCTGCAACCTTTCCCACTGAGCACTATTACTGAACAATCATAGGCTAGCCATGATAATTAGCAGAGTATCTATCCTTCCAACCCTCCTATCGCCACCCCCACCCCCCCACCCCCCATCCCCATCCCCATCCCCTCTCTCCTGACTGTCTCTCCATCCTCCTCCTACCCCTCCTCTTCTTAGAAATGTCTGGTGGGTGAGTGGGTAAGGCCAGGCGCCCACTACACAACATTTCGTCAGAGGACAACTCACAATACCTGCCACAATTTCTGTCTTGACTGAGACTTGACAATTTTGGCGGCCCACCAAAAATGATCAAGTACGAATCCTACCAAAGTTTAGGATCTCAGGAAGGGAATTAGACATGGAAGTGCCGACGCTGTCATAGTAGCGACGGGCAACAACATTTCATAACAATGCTGTCAATGTGCAAAAATCTTAAAACTCAACTGGAATGCCAAAATCAGCTATCCTGTCATCGAGTGGGCATTTGGCTCTAGTCTTGGTCAACAGGACGGAATCCAGAATACACTTTATAACTTGAATTGGTTGCAAAACTGCAATATCTTTCTTAAACTGGAATACAACTATACACCGTTTGTGGTTGTACCTCAACTACAAACTATTGTATGGTCCAGGAGGAATTGCTGTCAATCCTGGTAGTTATGATCATTAATGGGGAGAGACTTGCATTCCTGAGTCTGAGAGGCCAGTGCTTCTGCTGAGTAGTAACATCAATGAAACACCTTAATGTCTTTTCATGTAACCACTAATCCCTTCATTTGCATTACTGCCTCTTGTCCTCTGTTTTTTCATTGTGATTATTTGCTTTCTGCATAGTGTAGACATATGCTTTCCTCAGTGTTCACTGATTCTTTTGGATTGCACTGAAGGGTAAAATAAGAGCAGTAACTCCATCCAAGCTACAGATGTATTGTGTTCGTTAATGGGCCAGCCGCTGGGCTCCGCTTAACACTATGTAAGTGCAGTTAAAAGTGCAAAACATAAGATCAAAACCCTGTTTCTCATCAGTACGGAACAGGCAGTGGATGTGACTGTGTGTGTAAAGCAGAGTAAAATAGGTGAAAAGTTTGTACAGTTATGCATGTGCTCAGTAGAGCGAAACAAGGACAGAAGGAGGGGTGTCAGGACTTTCTTGGTTAAAGATTCCCCATCTGATAGTGACGGCACTTTCTCCCTTTCTTTCCATGGCCAAGCGGCATCTGGAGTGGATTTTGTGCTAGCAGACACCGAGGAACATGATTACATTCGGCTAACTGCGCTCTAAACTGATTATGCATGTGCCAAGCTAATGGACTACATTTGCAAGAGGAAAAATAACATCCAATCAATCTCAATTACCGCCGATTGCACCGGCCCCCGAGACAAGGAAGGTAGCCAGCTAACCCCCATGCTCCTCCCCTTTCCCCCAACCCTTGACTGGAAGCTGAGGCTTGTGGCTGGGCCTGGTTAGGTCCCACCCATTGTGTCTGGCCAGGGCAGCCAGGGCCTGAGAGCTGGATTAGTTACACTCATCTCACCTCCACACTAACACATAGCGAAGCACTGAGGCCTACTGCTGGTGGTAAATGAGCTATCACATTCACATACTATGTATGTGGCTAACTGAAAAATGAGGGTGGAATCTGGGTTTTCTTCCAAGATGAAGAGAGAGTCTCAGGGGAGAGCTACATATTCTAAAAACATACAGTACACAAACAAACGCTTGGGTTATCTGGATACGGCAACAGAACCCATCTGTTTGTGTTTAGGAGTGACCATTCTAGGAGCAGATGGGTGACCATCTTCTCTATGGTCCATGAGAAAAAGAGAAGGTGAAAGTTAGCTTCAGAGCACAGAGGAGTGTGTTGGCAGAACACACAGCACTCATAATGGGTATCTTTCAAATGAGAACATAGTACACAGGGGGAGACAGCATCACCCCCCACTGTGTGGTGGTCCATGTGGTCAGGATGACTTGCTGGATCTTTCTGTGGTCTTTTGGAACATTCCAATACATGGGGTGGTGGGGGTGATATTTTTAGAAAGCCCTAATATGGGCCGCATACCACAGACTCTCAAATTATCCCATCCAGCTTAGCCCTCAGTTTAAACCTTCCTTTTTAATTCCAGTAATTACAGGCTCCAATTTATATGGAGCTGTGCACACAAAGGGCCTGTTTAATGCAAACCAGTTTGATTTGGGTGAAGTGTCCCAAGCATCTCCCACATCTTACAGTCTGTTTATGCTGACTTGATGATTTATTTTCTCCCCAAAAAGGTTAAAATTGTGCTATTTGCATCAGATTTCTTTGGGGAGGAATAAATGAATGGTGATTTTCCTTTTTTCATCTTTGCATAATATACCAAGTTGGGTTTACATGCTTGTGGGCTACTGTGGGTTTCTGCCCATCAGTTTTTCTAACAGGACAGTAAATCGAAAGCAGTACGAAGACTGTGACATTGTCAAGTGGGAAGCCAGTGCTGCCAAGAGGCCTCACAACCGCGCACTTGTTGTCTGCTAATCACATTTGTGAGTTATAAAATATTGTAATAATTCTTGTCAACTCATGAACATCTCTGTTTTTGACTAGTGTCTGAGATGAGTAGAGTCAATGAGGACCGCAGTGGTCTCGGGTTGAGAGAGCAGGTAATTTCTGGACAAATGCACACACTCTTACTCAGAAGATCAATTGGTTTTAAGAAATATGGAGCCATCTTAAGAGGCTTAAGTCATAAAAAATGATCATGCCTGGATGTGTTGTACATATTTAATCCCCCACAGCCTGAACAGCAGTATGACATATGTCTCTTCTCTCTTAAAAATCTTGCATAGAAAAAGAGAAAAAAGAAGAAAAAGGAATATGTTTCTCTTTTGCCTTTTGGGCTCACAGCAAAGTAGAAAGCACAAAGATAATGTAATATAAATTGTACCCTGTACCCTACCGAGACAAGTCTCTCCCTCCAAAGGTGTAAGGAAGAGATGGAGTATGCCAGCGTCTGTCTATTTTGGTCTAATATGAGACTGTCATTGGAATGTGGGCCAGTAAGTCCAGCAGCTAATGCCTGGAGAGGATGACCATGGGCTGGAAAAGCACAAGGATAACTTGCTGTGCTTTTCTTTTGTCTCACAACTGACTCAACACATTTGCAGATTATGTTGCATATTTGCATTTGTGTGCATCTATAAATATCCCATGCATCTCAAAATGTTCCTGTGTCCCTCTTGCTTGTCCTAGAGCAAACCATAGACTGTAGAGGTAAACTACATGTTCCTCTTGTGACCCACGGCCCCTTTACGAGGAACCCTGCATCACAGCTCCCCCTTTTACAAAACACTGAGAATTGATTTCTTTCTTTTACTGTTATTTCAGAACAAAAGCTTTGTGGACAGGAAACACGGCTGCTATGCCAGTGGTTCTAAGGAACCATTCATAATGCTGGATTATTTTCAAATAGACAGCCTTTTTAAGGGGGTTTAAATGGACCACTTCGCCTTAGTTTTAATGTGATTAAAAACAACATGCTTGGGGAAAGAGATTTTTTTTACATGCCTTTCCAAAAGAGGTCATGCTATAATATAAGATACCATTACAAAAGTGTCAAGCAATAGAATTGTTTGAATAGTTTTTTCCTGTTTACTTTTTAAGAGTCAAACACTTGACAATGGAGTGGACTTATTATAAATAAAGGCAACATCTACTGGGATACAGTGCAACATTGTTATATGTTAGATTCTGTTGGTGTGTATGTAGTGTAGGATTTCAGAGAGTATGTAGTGTCAGTGTTTGTATGTGTTTTGTTGTCTGTGTTGTATGTGTATGTGCGCGCGCAGCTATGCCAGTTTGGGTTAAGCACAGGGAGGCCGAAGCCGCAGACACACAGGATAGGTACCTAAGTGGAATCAGGCCTGTTAGATTTATGGCCATTTGTTCGGAGAGTGTTCATCCATTGGCTATTATGGAATGATTAGAGGAGAAGGTGAAGCTCCAAGTCCAGCAAAAATCAATACGGCTGTCGAGAACGATTCAGCCTTTCCCGCTCCGAGGAGTATTAGCACCAAACCTCTGTCTCCTCACACTTCTTCATTCGTCTCCAAGTGATTCACCCCTAAGCCTCCAAACCAGCTTCACCTGCCATGTTCTTCTCATGGCAGCAGTGTCCCTGCTTCTATATGACTACTGGGAAGGCAAGAGTTACACAACAAAGCTATCATTCATGCCTTGGTGTAGCAGCTAGTTTAGCGGTGTGGGCAGCTCTAGAACATTTACTGGAGGAGTATGAAGTTAGCAGGGAGAAGATTAAGGACATATTTTTTTCCATTTGTGTGAAACTTATCAAAGTGAAATTGTATTATAAATACTCACAACTATCATATTACTTGTCCTGGTCTTATTATAACACCTAAACAGTGCAATAATATTGACAGCATTATTGCATGTAGGCTATTGTGCTGAATGAATGTTATCAATGTTTCGGTAAAACACTGCCATGACAGGGTTGAGTGGTGGATGTGATAAAGAAGCTTGAGGACAACTAACCTTGTAGAGTTTGAGGCTAGCCTCATGGCGGGAATTGACAGTGTGCATCCTCAGCTTCTCCAGGCTGTTAGTGTAGTAGTCACAGGCATTGCACTTCAGGTGCACTGGATTGCCAATGGCCACACATTTCAGACGCCATTCATTGCCTTTGCCCCCTTCTTTGATGTGGGCCACAAGCTGGTACTTTTGCACATGCTTGTCTGTCTTGCAGTGCAGCTGGAAGTTGGCCTTGAGCTGAGTGGTGTAGTGGCACAACTTGCACTGGTGAGAGTCACCCACCACAGCACGCCACTCCTCCTCCGGTAGGCTGCGTTCAGCTCCCATATGCATGCCAAGCACATCCAGGTTGTCAGTGGTGAAGCGGTTGCACACAGCGCACTGAAAGAGCTTGAGGGAGGGATCGCTGGTTTGTGATAGGCTTTCTCCCAGGGTCATCAGTTCTTCAGAAACCAACTGCCCACCACCCAGCCGCACGTCCATAGGGATCTCCCCACCTACTAGAATGTGCAGGGAACACAAAAAAAAACAAAAAGAAAGAGGAAAAGGGTTAAAAGGAAAAAGTATTTTGATGGTTGCAAACATTTATCATTATGTTAGACATATTCAAAGCTTACAGTCTAAATCATAGTTCAGTTTTCAAAGCTCACTTTATCTCTCAGTAATTTACCACAGGACGTGTACGTCATTACTTTATTGTTCTGCATCAGTGAGCACAGTGTTTTCCAAAGGAAGTCATAATTTGTGCCACTGTCATGAAATAAATGTAAGGTAAAGTAAAGCTGTTCAACTTAGAAAAACCATGGTCTGTCTGTAGTTATGATATTGCATGGAGGATAATGTGCATGTATGTATTTATGGGCCTATAGCTATGCCTGCTTTGAGCTAAGAATGAAGAAAGCCTGGACATTTCTAAGGAGACCAAAACCTCATGTTGCCAGAGAATGAATGTACATATCGGCCTGTTTGGGCTGGTACACTCTCATGGCCTGTCTGTAAATAAACTTCAGAAGCCATGAGCTCCAAGTTATTTTATCATTACTGCCGAACTAAGGAGTTCCCAAGTAGACATTACTGTAAATCAAATCCATCGGCCTTGTTCACTGAATAATAACATAAAAAATCCACTTCTCTGCTTGGATTCTTCTGCTTCTTTCTCTCCAGATAGCCTCTAAATCAATATGGACACCTAACAGATTAATTCTGCTTGGTACTAGTCTAAACGATAGAGAGGGGGAAAAAAACACAGCAAGCACATATCCTATGACACCAAAGAGAGAACTGATGTCTATACAGTCTGGGAAGGCTGACTTTAAAAATGAATACTAAAAAAATGAGGTAAGAGCAGCCGGGGTTTTTGCCTTTGCTTGCTGATCTTTAATCTTTCACTGCCCAGACTGAGCATGCAGGCTTGACCCTGCCTGGCTTTACACTAAATTAATTCCAGCAGCTCCTTTTTATTTATTGCTGCAGTATGCAGCCTGCTCTTGCACTTTTCTCCATTACCTGGGTTTTTATAGCCAGGAGAGGGAGACCTTTGAGAAGCCCTCTGAAATCACTCACAGACCCAGCTCCCAAGTCATAGCTCCTTACTCTGTCTCTTTTACAGACACACAGATGCACACGCATGCCCAATTGCTATCCCAGTCCTGTATTTTCCTGCACCTTACATTTCTCATTTCTACCTGGCTTTCATGCTCTATTACTATGCAGATTCAATGATTTACCACAGACTGGGATCCTGTTCCTCACTAAATTCTGGCTGTGGACAATTAAACCAAGACTCCAGTTGCATCTATTTGCACATAAGTTATTTTATATTGAAACCATAATGTTGTGAAGGTATATATGTCAACCCATATCCACAATAATACAAAGATAGAATGCTAGCGCTAGGTTAATCAGACACAAAAAGACTGACTCTTTACAATTACCATTTTCTGCCTATTCACTTTCCAAAACTAATGTTTTATAGTGAACAACTGTCTGAGGTAGGGGTTAGGGTTGTCTTTAGTGCTGTTTCAAAGGGTATGATGGACAACAAATTCCAGCACAAATGGCAAACAGTCGCATCCCCCGCGTTCTCTTTAACTCTCTTGCACTCCATCTCATATCTTCCTGTTACTACAGTAGCTGAGTCTTGGGAACGAGGATTACCAGGAGGCTGAGATCATCTGAGGTCAACATTTGTTATCTATCTCTTTGGCAATACACTCAAAAGTCAAAAATCCGCAGAGAGAGCATGAAAGAGCACCTCTCACTTTAGCTGCTTGGGCTCAGACCCCTTTGTGATGGCAGATTCTCTCAAGAGATTTACTGAGCCCTATGCATCATACTGTAGAGTTAATATCACAGTGTTTGTGTTTGATGGCTTTAAGAGTTCCTTTAAGTGTGACCAAGGATGACACCACTGTAGTTTATGGGCCCAGACTGTGTCATCATTGCCTCTCTTGTAACATGCTTATTACAACTCACCTCACAGGAAAATGAACCAGATGGCAGAAGTGGGAAAAAAGAATTAGTCACAGCAATCAATTCTTGTTTGTGTCTTTGAACTGACGACAGTTGGAGACAAGTCTGTACAAACTGCGGGGTTGTAACTGGCACGCCAAACGCTCTGCTATGCTGCTGAATTACCCATGCTGAGCCCTGTAACCTCCCTTCTTTGACCAAGATAAAATTTATAGCTGCAATTACAAAGTTGCAAAAAAAGGAGAACTCCAGTGGTGAAGTTCAGCAGCAGTTTGGGAATAATGACATAAAAGGCTGAGGCTGGCTGCCTGAGGGGGGGCAGGGACAAGAGAATATAGAGATTTGGCCGTCTAACTCACCTTTTGTGAGAAAAATTAGGCATCACAAAGTGAATTTTTAGATTTCAGTCAAACTTACATCTACACAGTGTCACTTAGATCACTGTATGAGAGGACTGTATGAGTGGAAAAAAATTACCTCTGAGCTTCTGCATGCTACTTGGCACATTTATAGCTATACATTTGTGGATTAAACTGATTGGCAGCTTTGTTGCCAGCACTAGAAGGTTTTTACTATGAATGTGAGATTAAAGCATTGAACATAGGCCTACTGTCTATGGTAAGCCCCCCAGGAAACTTGGATCGTGTTTCTTTTACCCCTCCCTCTTTAAATTTCAGCGACACTCTGCTTGTAAACTAAGAGAATGATGTCAAGTTCACTAGGGCAGGCATACCTTAGGGCATGAGAAGGAAAGGCAACCACTAATACCTAGTATAGATAGCAGTGGAAAAGGTCAATATGTGGATATTCCCTTTCATCTTTTCTTTTGTCATCATCATTAATTTTATGTGTTCATGTAAATTGATGAATTAGGATTCAAGATCTTATTGAACTGAAACTGATTCCACATAAAAGAAATAGCTCTAAACACTGTGATTTTGTGGCAACTAGAGGCATTTCTGAGAGTAATACAGGCATAATGGAGCTCACCAAGTGCAGGGGCCAGGGTGGCCATGTTGGGATCCAGGTGAAAGCTCCCCATCAGGAACTGGGCCTCAGCTCCAGCTGGGTCTATCTTGAGGCCTGGTGGTAGGCTCATGTTCTGGGTCAGGTAATATTGGTAGAGCTCAGCCTCAGAAGGTGAAGGCATGGCTCCCAAGCCAAGTCGACCATGCTGCATCTGAGTCACGTTCTGCTGGAGCAGCATCATGTTGTGCATGTGCTTCTCGCTGGTCATATGGATACGCAGGTTCCGTGCCACATTGGTCTCGTAGTCACATACCTCACACCGCCAAGTAGGTTTGCTCTTCGGCTTGGTCGGGGAGGGGGCCCCACACGGTCCAGCCATATGGGCGGAGGACTGTGTAGGATGGTGGTGGGGAGGGTGATGACTACTGGCCTGGGTCACAGAAGGGACAGCCACCACTCCTCCTGGGGTATGTCCAAACACCTGTTCCTGCGCAGAAGCAATGGAGCCTCCATTCTGCAGTGTCTGCATGTTGTTCAGGTGCTTGTCCGACTGCATGTGGATGCTTAGGTTGCCCTTTGTGGTGGTCGAGTAGTTACACACCTAAAAAAATATACATATATATATATGTATATAGGACATTTTCTTTTGAACTGCAATAAAGTGATACATACATTTGTTTTTTTCAATTTTTTACATCTTACAGAAGCATAAATGGCTCAACAAATCAACAACATAAAAGCAACTTCATTGCAACCCTTTAAACACACGAACATTGCCACATTTCTTGTACATACCTCACACCGGAAGGGCTTGTATCCACAGGTATAGCTTTCTCCACGAGCCAGACGAGGGTGGCTCTGACCACTGCTGCAGTACATACAGGAGCCTCCAGAGTCTGGGTGCTTTTCTTTCATGTGGGCCTCCAACGTCTGCTGGTACTTATAATGCCAGTTGCATTTGGGACACTTGAGTGTCTTGCATGAGTTGCGTGAATGCATCATGGTCATGTGGCCACCCAAGGAGCGTGAGGAACCCAGAACGGTGTCACATTTAGGGCATTCTACCCCACTTCCTCCGCTGCCACCAGGCCCATGGTTCTGTGAACACTCGCCCATCCCTGTTATGTCACAGGAGCCCCCTGGGAGAGGGTGGGAGTGTCCATGAGATGAAGGGTGGAGGTGATGAAGATGGTGGTGCATGTGGTGATGATGCAGAAGGGCTCCATTTTCCTCCTCTCCCTCTGCCGGGCAATCATTTGGTTCTGGAGCTGTGGCACTATCTCGATTGGCACTTTCATCAGCAGCAGCATTGGAGGACAGAGGTGAGGAGGAAGTGCCAGCAGTGTCATCCTCGCTCCTTCTGACGGCAGCTGCCGCCATTGCCATGGGAATAGTGGATCCCTGGCAGTTAAAGCTCAGAGGGAGCTCTGATGTCCTCCCTCCACCATCTGAAGTTGAACCCTCTTTCTTGACAGAGGAGGAAGTGGAAGCAGGAACTTTGCTGTTGAGTGTGCAGGCAGAAGGCTGGAGAGCGCTACTAGGCATTAATAAAGGAGATTTGGAAATGCTTTGGTTTGAGACAGCTGGTTCCCCCGCTTCACCCCTGCCGCTGCTACTGTTACCACCACAGGCCACTGCAGTGCTTTCTGCCTCCACCTCGTCTTCCTCCTCCCCTAATAACAGTTCCTCTTCTTCTTCCAAGCCCCCCATCTGGCTCGATAGGTGCGCTTTGCTTTCATGTCCATCAGTGTCCCCATCCTCTGCCTTGCATGCCAACTCTTTCCCAGCAGGCTCCTCTGTTCTCCCTCCCTGTTTGGGCAGGGCACTGGAGTCTTTGGCAGAGCCTGGGGATGAGGTAAGAGTGGATGCTTTGGGAATGCTCAGCCCTCCAAGAGAGAGGACCGAGCTGAGCGGGGTTTGTTGCTGCTGCTGTTGGTGGAGGCCAGAGTCAGAGTCTTTGTTCAGGAGGGTCTCGCTGCCCATGCTGCTGCTTCCAGGCTCCAGATGGACACCACTAAATGTGCCATAGAAGCTCTGGCCAGAGTTAATGGGGAGCAGGGTAGGTGGCAGAGGAGTGCTCTTAGTTTTTGGTTCCAGGAAACTGATGAGGGGCTCTTTGTCCTTCCCAATGCCCTGGATGATGGCAGATGCATGCTTGTCCCCTAGCAGCTGTCGCTCGTCCTCACACAGTGTCATGCGGTGATCATGGACGGCATGAGTGGCAAAGGAACGTGCATAGCCAAAGGACAGCTTGCAGAGAAAACACATGAGAATGGGCTTACCCTTGCCATATAGGGCTAGCCCATCAAATTTGGAGAAATCCACGTTGTTGGGAACATCTTTGGATACACAGGACTTCTTGGCAGACCCATCGCTGTTCAGGTAATCCTTGTTGCTTTTGTGCCGCACATCGAAGACACGGAAACTGTGCAGGACAGGGCTGAGGCCTGCCATGGTTGAGGTATTGGGGAAACCTTGGTCTGAATTGCCAAACCACTTCCCAAAGGAGGAGGCTATGTGGAACGTGTTGATGATCTGAGGGTAGACCGAGGATGAAGTCCCAGCAGGTTCCCCCGGTTTTTCCCCACTGGTGAGAGAGTTTGTGGGAAGCAGGCCGGGTACCATGCCCCCACCACTTTGGATCAACTGACTTAGGCTCTCTACGATGTAGGCTGAGCCATCTGGCTGGTAGACAATCTCTCCAGCCAGGTTCTCCACATCACTGCTCTCCTCTTCCTCTTCCTCCTCTCCTTCCTCACTCCCACTCTCAGGTGCTCCCTGTTGTCGTGTGGGCTGATGTCGCAGAAGAGTGGGCATGCCCCCTCCTCCTGAAGTCATCGGCACCCCAGGAAAGGGTTGAAGACTTGGGAAACAGCTGTCAATCTCCATTTCATCCAAGTCCTCAGATTCTTCCTCTTCTCCACAGCTCACTCCCTCTTGCTCTTCTTCCTCAAGACCCTCTCTTCTAGGATGCAGCTGGCCTGCGGCAGAGCTATCACGGTGGGCCTGGGGCGATGTCTGTTTTGGCTGCTGCTGCTGGGACTGTAGTTCTCTCACCCCGTCATGAGGTGCACTAGGGTTTTGGGGTTGAGAAGGGTAGGGAGCAGAGAGAGACAGGGGGTCCAGGGAAGGGGCCTGGTTGGTGCAAGGGACCTGTGAGCTAGAGTGATCGTTCCAGGGCTGTGGTTGTTGCTGCTTCTGGGAGGAGCCGAGCCCATCGTCTGTCCCAGAAACCACAGGAGACTCACAGCTGTCCATGCTGATGCCTACATGAGGCGTTCATCGCATCCAGGCCTGCGGAAACACAAATTGGAGAATAAGAGGTTATTGTTGTATTTACATACACATAAGCTCCCAAAACTAATTTAACTTTCCAATGTTGTTAACATTAATATTATATTTCAAAACATTACTACACCTATTAAGAAAATGACAGATAGAGAAAATATAAAAAAGACACTATGTATAGGAACCTTAAAAGAAGAAGATCAAATGTATGGCACATTGGGGGAGAGACAAAAGTCTGAGATATAATTGGAAAAATGACACCATGCTCATTACACTAGATTAGGTACTTAAACACAATACCTGAGACAAGCACTAATAAGCCGTCCATGATTCATCTTCCTGCCATATCAGGAAGGTACCATCTTTTATCTTCACCTTCCAAACAACACCCCTAATCTTATATTCTGCAAATCCTACATCCGTTTTTAATTAACTTGCAGTCAGAAAAAAGGAGAAACAGGCTAACTTAATGGATCAAATAGATTCCTTGTGAGATAATTAGACACTGAGAAGCCACCCATCAGCACATTGTACATTTACATAACTGGTAGAAATAGGGAAAACTGCATCTAAAAAAAGCCATTTATAACAAAGTCACCATTATCACTCCATATTCAAGTTGTGTACATATAAGACAAATATATTACATGTGCATTATTGATATAAATGTGTAAACTCTAACATGAACAATAAAAAGGCAGTATTTTCTATGAGCCCAAAATACATAAGCTGGGTTGGGACTTCACTGCAGCTGTGTTTAGATCTTGCATCCAATAACCTCTACGCTCAGCCTGGTTTCAAACACTCCAGCCATCCTCTGCCTCTGAAATAATAAATGGGAGCTGAGCTTTCGGGAGCTGGCCATGCCCCGAGCATCTGAGAGGCCCAACACAGGCTGCAATTTAGAGCGCAGAAGAGATAAAATGATAGCGCAAGATACTGCTGAGCTAATAATTTTATTAAAGGGATGCAGCCAACATTGATTAAAGGGGGCAATCGGGCTGAAACCAATAACTCTCGGCTGCCCTTTAACCCACCAGTACTGAATATTACATGAGCAAAGTTTCCCGGCACCAAGCTCACTGCCATGTCCCGGTTGATTAGCACATTCACTGCTTGCTCTTGATTTATTTACTTATTTACTTAGGGATGCAAATTTCAGCTGTGATCAGAATGGAGTCTACCCCCACAGCCTAACATATTAACTACTGAGGGAGAGGAGAGATTGATAATATCTGTCTGCCTCTTCATGAATGTCTGATGAAGCTTGCCTCTCACACACCATACCTGAGACCTCTCAAGCCTACATGCACTCAAACAAAAAAGAACTCTCATTTTAAAGAGAAAATGCTTTTGTATTTGGACTTCAGATTGAACAATAAGAGGGCAGAGGGAACATATTGTAGGCAAAGTAACAATAAAGAAACAAGCATTAAAATTTTAAAGCAATGACTTTAATTAATTAAATTTAAAATATGACTGCAAAGATGATGTAGATGATAGTGTCATAAATACCCAGGAACAGACATTTTCTTTCAGTATGGTCTACCTATTTGTTTTGATTACACACTGCAGAAACTAACCCCTGATGACCCTTGCCTTGCTTTGCATATAAAATGAAAGATATTAGATTGCTTAAGCAAGATTGCTTTATACAGTCAGACATGATTTAGAGATGGCTGCCATATTGAGTGAGGGGATATTAGCCCTACTGGTCTGTATTTATTATCTGCCCCATTAATAAGAGGCTATGAGCTCAACAGCCATTTCACACAAATGGACTGAGGGCAGTGAGAGTAATGCAAGAAAAAAAAAAAAGCCACATGTCAAACAGAGATTCTTCAAACTAAAAGCACATGGTTAAACTGCACAAAATGAAATGAAGAAAAAAAGTGACTTGTCTACAAGGACTGCCTCATAGGAAAAAAGTCTCCATGTGTCCTGTCTGAGCGAGTTGTTTCACACCTTGTATTTGTAATCTATTCTTTCAGCCCCTCCTCCAGATTCCACTGCCTGTCTCAACCAGGCCTGGGAACACTGGGCTAGTAGTTAAGATTGTTAGTTAAGAATGACCTTTAAGTTCTCTGCTCTCATCTTTGCATAGTCTTGAGCCCAAACAGAGTGGCTACAGTGTACTGTAGTAAGGATGTGTACCCATCCATTCCCATTACTGCTGTAAGATACCTGAAGCAATTAGCAGTAGACAGGATAACACGATGACTCTTGATCAGTGCTAGAGCTCTGAGCCAGCTTGGTGTGGCCACTGCTTACAGAAAACAGGATTGTCCTTTAAAATCAAGATGGTGTAATTCAATAACCTGCAGTGGTTACTGATGAGCAATGGGATTGTCTGGAGTCGGCAAGTCGCAGATGGACCAACTGATATAACGCTGTTTGTCTCTCGGAGGTCTGCCTGGCTCAGTGACACCTGTTTAAAGCAGGAAAAGCTTTAATCTCTGGGAGGCACTAAACAAGTCCGGGAGACAGACAAAGAGACGCGGTCGAAGAAGAGGGGAAGTGGAGGAGGCCGGTGTCTCTGTGTGCTGACTGTGTTAATAACCACAAATCAAAATGATGGAGCAGCACAGTAAAGGTGACTGCTGCTGAGTGGTATTATGTAAGGTTATATACTGTAATATGTAGAAAAGTTGTAATTTTCTTATGCATACTGGCACTGGTTCTGATTGCACAAAACAAGTGATCCTGTCATGGCCTCTGCCCTTGTGTTTAATCGTAACTGTGAATGTGGGCTCACTGAGTTGACAATAAGCACACTGTATGCAGCCAAAACAAGCCTTAGTTGACAATAAGACATAATCAGGGGAAGAAAAGGCTGGATTCCTCAGCTGATCTGAGGGAGAACATGCCGATGCACAGATCTTGACTATAGAACTCACACTCCTGCTGCCACCTGCCTTCAAAGGGTTCAGGGCAGAGTCCCCATGCTTTCTCTCCTCAGACAAAGAAATAAAAAGTCATACTCCATCTCCTCCCACTACTAACAAAGCAGATAAGGTTGAACCTTGTGAAAAGGCCTCAGTCCTAATGAACACTGTCAGAGAGTGGGTCTGGATGTCATTTGGTAGGGATGGAAAATGAGATAAGTTTTAAGTTATGGGTCCTTTCATTAGGTAGGATTTACCGGCCAACTGAGGGAGGAATTAAAGGCTAAGGAACCATCTGATTATAGGCATGCCTGATCACCTGCCTGAAGGCCTGGCCTTGCCTCCAGAGGACCCTGCTCTCCAGGGTTTCCTGAGGGAATTAGCTCTGACTCAGCCCCAACTGTGAATACTGCTGGGCTATGGATGTGATGCAGCCCTGACCCTTAATGCTATCCGCATACACGTCAGCAGTGAGGGAACACCTCCTTAAAATGAAAAAACACTGTTTCTTAATACGCCTAGAGGACCCCTTACAATACACCAGATCTGATTTTCAATTGTTCCTCAGTGATGTTGCCTGTCTGTGTCTGGTCTCTGAGCCATCACAGAGCCCGGCCAGCCACCGCAGGGTAAGGGGCGCTTATTGGAAAATCAATGGCGTGAACGCTAAGCAAGTTACAGGAAGATGTGGGAAGGAAGGGTTCTTATTGATAAAGCAGGGGAAGGCCTTTGATGTTGCACTAGGGACATGCTCATTGATGGGGGAACCATTGTAGTCCTCAGGCAGAGTGAGGCGCGGGTTTATCTCCCAGGTTTGTTCCAATTAATCACCAATAAAGGCGTGCATGCATTGCACTCTTAAACATAAGTCCATTTTAATGCCTGACATGGCTTGGTAAATTCTGGTTTAACACTGTGCTCTTACAGTGAGACAATCTACATTTCTAACACAGAACTGCAAGTGTCTCCTTCTGCCTTACTCTACTGTCTCTGCCAAGACTATCTGTAGCCTATACCTAATACAACAACCTGATACTCAACTAAGGAATAACCATGCTGAGTGTGCAAGTGTGGTCCTGAACAGGCTAGAATCATGAAATGATTTACTCTACAGAATCCAAAATAAATAAATACATGAAACTATAAATAATATACTCATATGTCATTAAAAACATATATTAATTATTTAATTTACTTTATTAATTATATTTATAAAATAATAAACAGTGAAAATGATTCAAGAGAAAAATGGAAGTGAAAAATGCATCTTTCAGTGTCCAAGTTTGCTATTACAGCATCACTTTGTCATGAAATTGTGAGCCAAACAAGTTTGTCAACCACTGCAATTAACAACACACCATTGTAATTATATTAGGTACATGGAGTTCTTGTTCTCTTTGATCCCCAACACTGTAAATCAGACAATTAAGCATGTACAGCATTGTTGTTTATTGTGTGCTGTAAATATTCTGTCTACTATTCTGGCTAATGCAGACATAAGGGTGCTCCAGTATTGCTCCAACTGCAGGAGGCAAAAAGTCACCTCAGGTCGATGGCACTCAGCCTGTAAACAGGGCTTCCCGTAAAATCAATGATCTTCAGTAGGAGCTATCAGTCTGTGGAACAGAAATAGCCGTGGCTGTGTTGAGTCTGAGGCGGGGAAGAACAGTACTGTGTGTTTACATGAGTGTGTGTGAGTAGAAGGGGCCGGTCACTGGCATGTCTGGGAGTATTTCTCAGAGATAGCAGAAATAAGGCACGCAGCTTCTGTCATGTTACAGCCAGTGAAAGCCTAGAAGCATTACTACAGCTCAAAGATTTCATTTATGCTGTTTTGTTTGCGTACTTTAAGCCTCAAACTAGTGTTGCAACAGATATATCACTTACAGCTAAAATAATCCTTGCTGATTACAATATGAGCAAACTCAAATACCCAGGAGGCAATGTGCTGATTGTTTTAGTTTCACAGCACTCAATTTTAGTAACCATTTTGCACTAGTAATACTGGCCAGAAAAAGGCAAAATTGATTTGTTTGTAGTATCAATTGCCTCCTTTGTTAATAGACTTGAAATAGAACCTTGAAAATGATTTTACCCTTTACGCAACACCATCAAATTCTG